CTCTCTCTCTCTCTCTCTCTCTCTCTCTCTGTGCCACCTTGCTGTTTTTGTATTTTTCTTCTCCTGTCCTGCCGACATTTTTTTTCCATGCCACAGTGTTTGCCGATCTTACTCAATAGGTATTTTGGTTCGCAGTGTCTCTTTACATGTCTGTTGTTGAAAGAGTGCAAGAACTTCGGCACCGTAAGGAAAACCATCAGGAGAATAGTAAGATGGGCTTGTTCCAGAGGAAGCAAAACAATGTCTGCTAATACAACTTGAATTTGGTGTTCTTGTGGGATTGTATGCAACCAAAGGCGTCCCAATTCAATGGAAGACTTCGAACTATTCTCGAGGGATGAATATTCGTCCTGTGAAGGTTGCCATCGGTTCAATCCGGATGACCCCGACACACCGCTCTCTGTCCATGTGCGTTGCTTGGATGTTGAATCACGGGAGGCCGATCACCGAGTGGATTGGATGGGGTTCTCCATGCAGGGGCGTCTTAGTTACGACAAGCTCGGCTGCCTCCTGGTAAGTTTATGGACCTGTTGAACCTTTGGTGCAATCAGTTGCTTATTATATCTTGTCATTGTTCTGTGGTGCAGCAGCAGAAGAATCCTCGGTTTTCTTTTTTCTGGGGGGGGAAACAGGTCGGCGGCTGCTACAAGGGGGGGTGGTAAGAGCAGCCTCCCCTAAGAGCAGCCTCCCCGAGAAAGTGCCCCAGGCCGCTCCATCTATTGATGGGGAGCTTCACCTGCTGCAAAACAGGTCCAGCACCCCCTGTACATGAATATCGTCCTCAGATCTAACACTCAGCTGAGTCCAAAACACGTGTTGTTGTATTTCCACAATTTTCCACAGATTATGAAATCTATTTTGATATTGCACACATTCTTCTCCAACTGAGCTAGCCCTCATCTCTCTCTCTCTCTCTGTGCAATGACTTGCTGATTTCTACTGCCGAGACTGACTGTGACGCTGTATAGTACAGCAGTAGGTTAGATTCACAATTTTGCTTGGCTGAGGGCTAACCGAGACACCTACCTGTAAGGAAATTCGTGAGGAACATATCTGCAAATCTGGGAAAATATAGGCCCAGTACTAACTCGAATTCCTACAGCTACAACTGCGTATAGCAGGCCCGGGCTACCCCTAGGACAGACAGGCCCTAAGTGGCCTATGCTGATAGACAGTCCTATAGCCTATAGCCGGGTCCGGTAGAGGCCGAGAGGCCGAAACAGCAATGGTACCGGTCGGTCAGTCAGTCCGGTCTAGGTCTAGTGTAGTCTATAGATAGGTTAGGCCCATCGGTTCAGGACTTTTGGCAGTTCATTTCTCGCGAAGCCAAGCAAGCCCAGTCTGAGTCTGCCATAGCTTGGGCATCCTCAGCGCATCTACCCCTGGGGTATCTGCGTCTGGTCGGGCTACATCAAGGCGTGGGTGGTGGCAGCCATAGCTGCCTGTTCCTTCGTCAGAGTTGTCCAGCGGCACTGAAGACTTCATCGCAGGACCTGTTCTTCATCAGGATGGTTGGCGCTGGCCTCTGGGAGGCCATTCTGATGTGGCACTACTAACTGGGTGTAGGATAGAGAGTGGGGTGTGAGTTCTGAGAGTGGCGAGATACGGGAACAAACTCTGTTACGATAATTGTTTGAGTTTGCTCATCATCAGCGCAATTTCAATTGTTATCCTCGCAGGTTCTACTTGTGATTGGTTGTTGGGAGTTTGTCAGAGAGAGAGAAACACTGTGTGTCTTCCCCCCATCTGTGCATAGCTGTATTCCGCTGCCTACTTTGATCTGTGTGCAGTGTGGACTCTGTCTCCTCTCCCCCTTCTCTTATGCATGTATGGGC